GACACAATAACAAAAACAAGAAGAAACATTTTTATGCATAGTCAACCTAACAGTCATTTTTCCTATGTGAAAATCATCTGGTAATGATCAATAATATAAATAGATGCCTTAATATATTATTTCAGTACATGTTTTATGTCGAGTATGATTTGTGATCCTATCTCCTATAACCACACTTTTACTATAAGCCCTAAGTCATAAATCACAACTTTTCTTGTTCTGCAGTCCTTAGGAGCACAATGAAATTTAGTTCTGAAATTTTCAAGACCTGAAAAACATGTTTATATGGCAAATTTTTTCAATAATTCAGACAACAAACGTATTTATGAACAAATGCACACTTCTATGAGATTTATGATGCAAGAGGAATTAGGAAATTAAGAATGAAAAAACCTATTATAAGTCACTTTACCTATGTACTTTACTACATAATATATGATACTGTACATAGGATACTGTTTAAGACTATGTTCAAAGGCTGAGTGCCAGTGGCTCATGCCTGTAATTCTAGCTACTCAGGAGGCTGAGAGCTGAGGATAGCGGTTCAAAGCCAGCCTGGGAAAGAAAGTCTGTGAGACTCTTATCTCCAATAAACCACTAAAAAACCAGAAGTGATGCTGTGGCTCAAGCGGTAGAGTGCTCGCCCTGAGCTCAAGAGCACAGGGACAGCGCCCAAGCCCAGAGTTCAAGCCCCACGACCAAAAAAAAAAAGACTATGTTCCAGAAAGTCTCATGATTTCCCTATATTTCTAGTCCACTGACATTAAACAAATCACTGAAAATATTGAACCATGCTATATTATGGGCCACTCGTTTCTTACCATGTACAAATAGGTTAATTGAGCTATGTATTATTTTCTATATATCTAAATCAAGTGACCTTCATCAAAGGCTTCATATTTATATGATCTGATTCTTAAAAGAAGAATGCTTCCTCCAGATACTTCCAGAACAACCATGATATAATTTATGAATTACCATAAATTGGCTGAGGCATCTCTTCTTTGCTTTCTTTCCTCTCCCCTTCTCAATTTACCAAACTGCCAAATAATTTTAGGCAATAAAAATCTTTGAAATATGAATCACAGCACAAGAATAACAGAAAGGAGTTAGTCCTTAAATACATTGCCATATTCAAAGACTTGGGCTGGGAGGTAGTTCAGTATCAAAGTGCTTGCTTAGCAAGTGCAACATCCTGGGTTCAATCCCTACTACCTCCCCCACAAATAAAAAGACAAGTCAAAGTCCTAAAATAACAAATGTGTTTGGCTATTTTGCTTAATCCTTCTTATAGTTGTTCTGTGTCATTTTTTTTCTTGTAAAACAGAAAATAGGCATCTTTGGTAGCCTGCTACTTAATTCTATATTTAGACAGCATTTTACCAAGTGAAGCTAAACACAACGTAACTATGTTATTTGAAGGACTTAAAAGAAAAGTTGGTTGCCATTTATGATTTCACCTGACCATGCAGGTGTAATAGCTACTCTATTATTCCATTACTTCTGTGATAGAATGCAGTGACCTTTCATTGAGTTGCCTTCAAGTTCATCCATTTTCAATGCTCTCCACAGATATTTTCAGCACTTGTTCTCACAGTGAAAGTTAATTTAAGACACCATTCTTTTCCCACACAAACTAATAACATAAAAATTTTACATTTTTCTATCAAACAAAGGAGGTTATCAAGGTCACATTTCAGGTCATCAAAGCTAATATAAAATCCTAATTTAGCATCTTACAGCTGGAAGGGATTTTAGTCTTTATCAAATTATCTCTTTTTATAGATAAAGAAATAAAAGCCCAGAACAGTTTAATGAAATCTCTAAACCCACTATATTTAACTAGGTTAGAAGGGTAAGGAGGGTTAGATTAAGGTTAGAATTAAGAACTGGGTCTCCTGAACTATATGAAGTTAGTCCCCATCCTAAATGAAAATAACTTGACATCTACTTGTTTGGCTTAGATGAGAGATTTATCATGAAACCAGAATTCTTTGTAGTGTATTGTTTCTTTTACTAATTTTGACCAAAGATGAATAATGTTTTTAAGTAACAGCCATTTTAGTTTACAGTCATATATATATATATATATATATATATGAGGACTGATCTCACATGGATGATTATAAAATGGTATCATTATAAGGATTTTTAAAATTTGAATTTGAAAACACACCCACAGTAATTAGTGTATTCTGATATCTTGAATATGAAAACAGTGATTTAAAAAATAAATTAAGGTAATTTACATGGTTTTGGTGAAAAAGACAGAATGGCTTGTCAATAAATGAGATCCATATACACTGATGAAAACTGTGCAGTATTCATGTGGACATGAAAGACGAAAACACAGCTCACTTCTGTGGCAGACACAAAGTGAAGAAAGGGAAGAGAGCAGACCAGAAATCACTGAGTGCATTCTCCCTATGAAAAATAGAAGGGAAAAATAAGAAATGAACTTTACAACTTGGGGCAGGGAAAGGGAGGAGTTGGGGAAGTGGGAAGGGAAGGGATAATATGGGAAAAACAAAGGAGGGAGTAACAATGTTTCATAGGAAATGTACTCATTATCTTACTCATGTAACCTCTCTGTACAGTATCTTTACAATAAAAGATATATATTACAAAAAGAAACTGTAATAAATGAGACAATGCATAAAATAAGAAAAAAGAGAAAGTGAACAGTTCTGTGACTCTAACCTACTCAGTCCAGGATAGTCAAGAATATCTGTGTGGCCAGCTGCTATCTGTGGACACAAAACCCTTTTTATTTCAATGCCACATTAAATTCTAGAGTATAAAGCCACAGTGCCAGAATACATGGCCTTGTCTGGCTCCCTAAGAAAAAAACTAGATGGCTCACAACTAAAGCCAAATTCCAACTGATATTTTTTGTTCAAATGAAAATATAAGAATCAAAATAATTAGAAAATGATGTTAAAAACACATTTTAAACCATTTACATTGGCCAAGGTTAAAAAAAAGAGTTAAATAAAGGACTTTACAGTGAGTAGATAAAATTGTCAGTGTGCTATGCTATGTGCACTCTCAGAAAAAAAACATATCCTATATCTCAATATTTGTAGGAGAAATTAGCATAATGAGAACAAAGAACAAAGCTTGGCTTGCTTTCCAAATTGGGCAAAAAAGATAGTATGCTTGTACCTTTAAATGTTTAGTTCAACAGCCATATGACCCAGCTCCAATCTCTTATATTCAGGTTCCTTAAGCTCCACCCATCCCCCCATTACTTCAGGGTTGACAGATTTTCATTAGGTCCTCTGAAGGAAAATGAATATTCCTTGCTCAATAGGGTTTTTTCCCCCTGATTCTTTTCAAGCTATTTATAAATTATAAACATAGGGACAAACCATTTAATACAAAACATTATTTGTATTTATTATACCATCCTAGTGAAATTAGGAAACACACATATAACATCTAGTATAATACAAAACATTATAGTAAAGTTGTTTTATATATCCATATATTATAACCTCAACCCAAAATACCTGCACAAGAATCTCTCCTCCCCAAGGAATATTGTGAAAAAAATTCTGATGTCCATATTGAAGAAAATAAGATATACATACATAGATTCTTCAGTAAGATCTTGATTGGCACTGTCATGGAGTGCCAGGCTCTGATGGCTCACACCTCTAATCATGGTTACTCAGGAGGCTGAGATTGAGGATGTTAGTTCGAACTGAGCCTGTGCAGGAAAGTCTGTGACACTCATCTCTAATTAACCACCAAAAACCCAAAGTGACTCTATGGCTCAAAGTAGTAAAGGCCTAGCCTTGAGCAAAAAAGGTCAGGAGAGAGCTCAGGCCCTGAGTTCAAGCCCATGACAGAAGGAAAACAAACAAAAAAACAAAAAAAAAACAGGGCTGGGAAGGTGGCTCAGTGGTAGAGTGCTTGCCTTGTATGCATGAGGACCTGGGTTCTATTTCTCAGCATCGCATAAGCAGAAAAAGCTGGAAGTGGTGCTGTGGCTCAAGTGGTAGAGTGTTAGTCTTGAGCTAAAGAGCTGAGGAACAGTACTCAGGCCCAGAGTTCAGGCCCCACAACTGACCAAAAAACAAAACAAAACAAAAAAAAACTTTAAATCTTTTTCCTTATTCTGATGCAATAAAAATAAGAATGCTTTAAAGACATTATTGTTTACATATCATCTACCTTTAGATGTTTAGTTCAACAGCCATCTGACCCAGGTCCAGGGCTCTTTGATTCAGTTTTCCTAAGCCCTTCCTACCCCTCACTACTTCAGGGTTGACAGACAGATTTTCATTAATTTCTCTGAAGGAAAATGAATATTCCTTGCTCTACAGGTTTTTTATTCCCTTCATTCTTTTGAAGCTATTTATATGTTCCATTTACATTTTCTCATGTAAGTTAAATTATAATTGGCAAACACAGATCTATTAAAAGCTTAATATATTTAAGTCAGACATCTTAAATATAGATCAGTGATTCATTCTGCTATAGAAAAAAAATCTAAACAAAACTTTAATTGACTCTTTTCCAATTGAAATCTTAATATCAAGAGTTACTTAAAATATGTTGGAAACTTTCATAGATAAAGACAATTTTTAAGTAACTACTATGCCCTTACAAGTTATTCTCCCAAAATTATTAAATAAGAAAATTTTCATTTTTCACTCCAATTTTGAATGGATCTAGAGAACTTTCCTTTAGAATTTGAAGAACGCATTAGAAAATCATTAGATTTCACTAGAGACCAATGCAAATATTGATTATGTGCCCTCATATTTTTATTTATATTTCATTAGAAAGGGAGATGCTTGGTCTCAGGCCATTAAACCAACCCCACACACAATCTATGCCACATACTTGCATGTGTGTACACACACACACACATGCACACACACACACACACACACACACACACACACACACACACACACGACACCAGTGCTAACTTTTTTGAAAAAAAGAATCATATGAAATCTTCCGTTCAGATGCCAACTGGATCTTACCTGGAGCCATAATTTGTTGTGCACAGCATCTCTCCCTGTAGCAATGCACTGAAATGTAGCATTCTGCCCTGCATTGACTTCTACATCCCCCAGGCGGAGAAAATGAGGAGATTTATCTGTAAATGGAGAGAAAAAAAATAATGTACAAATAATATTTCATGTTATTTGTTTGCAACAAAATACTGTTCTTAATGTTTCTGTTAATATTTTGTGTTACTTATTTGCAACAGAATACTGTTCTTAATGTTTCTACTTTTGGCCAAGACAAATATGCAAAAAAATATGAACTTTTGTTTGTGCTAGAAGATAACATGTCCTCTCTCTCTGTCTCTCAGTTTTCTTCTGAGTAGCGTTATTGTACATTCATGCTGAACTGTTAAGACATTTCTCTTAAGAATGAGTGCTGAATAGTTACTAGGAAGGCTGTTATAGGCTGTTACATATGGGTCATAATATAAGGTGTAAACCGAAAAAGAGAACAAAGAGACATGTGTCAGAGAATAACAGGAATATGCAAAGCTTTCTAAAATACTGACCATTGTAAGGCCTAGAACATATAATTCCAACTTATGATTTAAGTAATTGCATCCCCTTCCCTTGTTCCTTCCTTCCTTCCTTCCTTTGAAAACCCTCATAGTTCCAAGAAAGGGGGGATTTTTTAAATAATTCTCAAAAATAGAATACCTACTTAACAGTTGTTAAATCAACATGCTAGTTTTATAAGCATAAGAAAGATATCAAAAAGAAATATTAGTTAAATGAAAAGGATGACTGCATACAATGTATACAGAAACTAGGAGATCAGTTCCGTATCTTGCAATTGACATTTGAAATGAAAGCTTCCACCGGTATTTTTCATTTCCAGAAAATATAAACAGCAAAAGTAAAACCTCAGTCAATAAAAGGAAAATTCTTAGAAAACCATACCATGGTACAAGTGGCATTGTTGTGGCCAATTCACAATTTCCCATTCATGAAAGCCTTTCTTTGCCCATTTATCATTTAAGAAATGAATATGAACAGTAGATAGAAACACAGAGTTCTTATCATATAGACTGAAAAAGTTTACTAATCCAACCTGAACTTTGAGTGATGTCATTTTGTTCTCTTCTTTCAAAACATATACACCATAGACAATGTAAGTGACCTTGGCCTGGTAGGTACTTCTTTCTCTAGGGCCTTAATTTAATAAGAACTCAGGGGGGAAAATGTTTGAGCTAGAATGAACAGCAGAAAGACCATTCTCAAAAAAGAAATCCATTCACTAGAAGCATCAGCAACATCTGGAAATTGATTGGAAATGTAAATTCTCTGGTCCCAATTCAGAATTAATGAGTCAGAAACAGAGGAAGGACCCAGGAGAAGTCTGATTTACCATTCCCTGTGGTATGCTAAAGGATGACAACCCACCCACCCGGGACACAAAGCCCTATCCTTTATATGGGGTCCCTGTGCATCCTGTTTACAAGGAGATAGAGATAGGGCTACCAGAGAGGATTATTATACAGAAGATCCAGAATAACACAGGTGCCATCACTGCTGCTGCTGCAACTGCTGCTGCTAAAATATAGTAAGAAAAGTCTGAGGCTATGCCTCATTTTGCGTTGGCTCCTCTAAATTCATGTCATAACTAATTTTCTTTTGAGTAATGTGATTTAAATACAAACAGATATGTGATCTAAAAAACAATCAATATGTTTCTAAGGTCATTCATAAGCAATTTACATTAATAAATGGGGTTTTGTTTTGTTCACTTTCTCTTTCTTTAATGTCAACTAACCAGATATTTGTTACTATGACATGAAAAAAAGATACCCCTAGGTTTTAAAACAAGGTAAACTAAGTCATTCCCTTTGTTGCACCTGAACTTAAACAGAAGTTCAGATAATTCAGTCAGGCTATTCATTTTTCTTCATTTTCCTAAACATTTGGATAATATTGAAAAAATGTGATAGGTCCTACCAAGAGTTACCTTTGCATTATAATTTGTTCCCAGGAATCAAGTCATTTAAAATAGTCACCCTTTAATATTTAGCTACAAATCAAAAAAATACTTGAAACAGAATTCCAGAAATAGTTATGTCTTCTTTTCAAAAGAAATGAAGAATTAATAAGAAAGTGATGACCAAATCCTAAACAATCAACAGTCATTGCCTATGAATGACAGTGGTTTTCAAAGGACACAGAAAAATACAACAGAGATAAATACAACTTACCACAAGGATAACTCAGTACTTGGATGTCATCGATGGCAATATAACCACTTCTTCCTCCTGAGACTTCAGCTTCAAATATTACCTGTTGGGAAGAAGCAGAAAACATTTACAACCGCCATTTTTAGAGAAAGCTACAATACATTTAAAAAGTAAATTTGTTTGTACTTAATTCTTTAAATTCTTGTAAGTTTTTAAACTCTTAAGAATTTAAAGATTCACTTATCCCAAACCTTGTACAAGGAAATCAAATAAAAAGAAAAAAATTACGTTACTGAATTCAAACAGTTCAAATTTTCTTTAAGCAGCTACTAGTATGATAGGAAATATGCGATAAGCAAACCTGATATCTCTAAAAGTAAAGTTTCTCCTATTTTTTCCCATTTGCATTATTTATTTGATATCTGTATATCTATTACTGAAGATATAAAATAAAGAAACTAGAATTTTCAAGAACAGAGACAAACATATATATTGCTAGAATTACAAGCACACTGATTGATGAACAGTGAAATAATCTATGGTTAATGACTTGGAGCATCAAATGAGAAGCAGGAGTTTGGAAGTAGTTATGGAAGGCCTTATATGAGAAGTAGCTTGGCTCAACAATATCACATTAACAAAAGCTAGCCAAAACAAAAACAACAACAACAAAAAGTTGCCATAGTCCAATCTAGGCTCCTGTTACAGAGTTGGCTATTATGCATACAAACACTTCACATGGTTTTTACACATGGTGTGACGTCCCAGAAGAAGTCAAGATTCAACCTTTAGAATGTCAATGTTCATAGAAGCACCAAGGTAATTTTTGGTATATTTAGCAAAGCGTTTTTGAGAAAGATAATGGAAGTAATACATGAAATACACATAGAATATAGTCAAATGTACTTCACTTCTAAAGTGGGTGGAAGATAATCTGAAAGGAATAGGTAGGCATTATGTTGGTAACAGCAGAAAATGCTGAAGAAACAACATGCTAGAACTTGTTGCTACCTTGGCTCTGGAGCAGGATAGATGATTTGGCTTGGGTTCCTAGGTGAATGAGCATGTTAAGATTCTAATCAGGATGGTGATACAGAAAATGGTACGTATTTGAAAAGGAAGGTAGATACCAAGTACATTTCAGACATGTCAAATTTGATTTCCCTCTGACAGATATGAGAGGTAACTAGGTAGATGGATGTGGGAGAAGAGGTGGCTCTAAAAAGAAGGAGTGGATCTGGAAGAGAGTGCTACGCCATTGATGGCATTAAGCTATCACTTTGAAATTTAATATGAGTGAGTGAGACAGCACAGGAAGAAAAATAAAAGAGAGGGTAAATGATAGCACCTAATGAACACAAACGCTGGGTGAACTGAGCCTTTCCAGGACTGTCTGTTGATCTTTAACCATTTCCCCTTCTCATGGGAATATTTCTAATTACTGGATCAGTCTATGATTGTGGATCAGCACAAACTGAAGACCCCTAGTGAGAGAAAGAAACAGCGAGCCTTCCAGGTTAATAGTATGTAGATTTAGAAGACTGTGAAGGGGAAAAAATGATATAGGCAATATTGAATAATATCAAATACAGGAGAGCGATCAAGGGAAAGTAAAATTTAAAAGTATTGATTAGAGTTAGCAATAATTACATCTCAGGTAACCTTGGTAGGACAATTTTACTCTGGAAAAACTGTAGATTGGAAAAAATAAGGATGGTTTATTGAGCACTTACTCTATAAAAGAGACTGTCTTAAGCTAGCACACATGTTCACACTTGCTTCTGCTTGTTTCTCTATATAGAAAGAAACAAATTCAGAGAATCTAAGGTAAATAGATTTTATATCTATTTATACTGAAAAAAAAAGAAATAGACCAACAAAAGCAGCTAACAAGTAGTGTAGTTAACCAGAACTGAAAGGAACCACATTGACTAGCCTCTCCAATTAAGAATAGGGTGAAAGAATTTCAGTTAAATAAATTTCATTTAAATGAACTTCCAATTTCCTTTCAAGATGCTAAATTTAAAATAAAGTACCAACATTATTTCAAATAGAACCACTTGTTCATATAACATATTGAATAAATGCTAATATCATGATCATTAAATTTTTCCCATCTCATGTAATACCTTTACAATCACCTAAAATTTACTACCAAAGGGAAATAGTAGGTGAGAACTTATCATTTCTCTTTTCTCCATGCACTCTCATCTCAAACTCAGTCTGGTGTTAACATTTTTCAAGTTCCCCATTTTCCTTTTGTGACTATTGATTTTACTCAAGTATGTTGAAGCTCAGAGAATGAGATGTCAGAAATAAATAAATAAAATGCTTCCTTACAGTAGGGTGGTGAATTTATGAACACAGAAATGTTAGGGGATGTATTTGCACTACACATAAATGCTTTTAGATCAAATCCAATTGCTAGATTATTTAATAACAGTTGGGACAAAGGATTAGCAATAAATGCAGAACAGGATGCAAATATTTAATGTAGCTCTCAGAGAATTGTGGTAGAGAAGATACTTTCTTTCCAGTGAGTTGCCAGTGAGCCCAATCTCACCTTAGAACGTGTACATAAAAAAAGAAATGTATGGACTTGTAGGAAATGGATAACTGCTATTGTTTTGATTATACATTGTTTATAGGTGAGGATGTAAACTGAACCTTAGGAAAATAACTTTTATTGATGTAAAGAGAGGCTCAAAAAACAATAGAATAGCATAGAAAGAAAAGAATAGAAAGAAAAAAACCTGTTATAAAAATTGCATTCTACTGAATAAATAATATAGTTGCATAATAACTGGCTTCTGTTAATTATTTCAGTCTGCCTTTGTCAGCATGGTTTAAGTTATTTTAACTTCTTGGCTTACCTTAGTGTTACTTTCTAGAGTCATTTAAGTTCCCTTGATGCTGATGGGTTGTAAGTTTAAAAAAGATTACTATCCCCCTGAGAAGACATTCTTATTTGTTCATTTAAATTGAGGTTCATTCAGGACAATAAATTTAGGCCTTGATTCAAAAGAAAGTGAAATGATTGGTTCTTTATTAAAGAAAAAAAAGAAAAAAAATCCAAAAGGTTCCCTTTTGTAGTGACCTCATTTTCTCTATAAGTGTTGTCTTCGCCTCATTAACAAGAGCTAGAGGAAATTTCTAAGATCAGATTCCTATTCTACTAGGATGTAATCAGCATTATCACTTCAACTGAGCTCTCACCTTGCAAGGCTCTTCTGTCCAACCAGGGGAAACAAATCTCAGACGCTTAATTATGCAGCACTTGCTTGGGCTAACGTTCAGGTCAGATCTAATGTCTGGTGTCAAGCGATCAACCAGGGCTTTCCAGAAGAAGAAAGCAATCGATGCCACACCAGATGTCAACTTTAACCTGTCCAGGGGGCCACCCTGGGAACAGGAGACAGGGTCTCTGCCTTTCAAGCTGTTTTTATACCGCTCCATTACCTGAAATACGGAAGGTGATGATTCTCATCAAATTTTTGCTACTCTAGCAACATCGCTGGATTATTAACTAAATAAGTGAAGTAAAGTCAAATTAAAGAGGAGGAAGAGGAAAACGTAGCAAATCCAAAGAACAAAGACAATTTTATCCTGTAGGAAACAGTTAACAAAGAAAAGGAAGAATCATGTATCAAGGAACGCTAACCCTGACTGTCAGGGAGCCTGGGTCTGGTTATTGTCCTGCTGACTTGTACAACCCCAGCAGTTAACATGTTAACTGGTAAGATAATATTTGGTTGTAAAGTAGAGAAAAGTCAGGTGTTCATGTGAGACAGGATAGGATCCAAATAAATAGCTCTATGAGAGGAACTAATTTCTTTAAGCGTATGAAGAAAAAGATGTATGGAAATATAATTTGCAGGATTTTTACCATAATAAGGGAGTGTCTGTGGTGTGGCTTTAATATTCTCAGCTATGAACTGATAAACAGAGGGCTGAAGTTTACTAAGAATCAAATGCTGTGGAAGAGAGAAGAGAATGAGGAAAGAAACTGAAGGAAAAAAATGTAGCAAGTAAAAATCAGGAGTATCTTAGTGTACACTGATGGTAGTGGCAGGAATTTTATTAGATCAAAAACCTATTATAATGCTGAGCACATTGGCTCATACAGGTAATTCAAGCTACGGAAGTGGTGGAGCTTCAAAATATAAGGCCTGACCATGTGAGGTGTAAAGACATATCTTTGGTCCCAGCTGCACGAAAGGAAAGATAAGAGAATCACAGTCAAAGGCCAGCCCAGGATGCATACAAAAGACCCTATCTGAAAGTAACTAAAGCCAAGAAGGGGTCCGGGCATAGCTTATATGTTAAATTATCTGTCTAGCGTGCAAGACTCTGAATTTAATCTCCAGTACCTCCCTCCTATGTAATGCTTCTTTAAATTTACTTTCAGAAAAAGTGGATAGAGTGAAAGTAAACAAAGTTTATAGAAATGACAAATGTCTAAACATCTAATCCAGATGAAATAAAAGTTTATTTATTGATGATTTACTTAAACTCTGATGGTATGACAGGCTGGGTTTCTTTCAGGTTGGAGGGAGCTTAACAAAATAAATACGATGAAATGAAGGGTATTTATGGGTAGGAAGTGAGAGGCACACAGGCACAGTTAAGACAGTTATAGGACAAGGTAACATCTACTTAACCAGCAACTGCTTCCTGAAGTAAAAATTTTGGAGTTGGGAAATTGAAGGAAGTCGTCAGATGACAATTGTCCAACAAAGTGGTAAGATCAACTCTAAAAGACTTCAAAACAAAGCTTATGATGAATAGAAAAAAGCATGACTTGGGGGTGTACTGGAAGATAATAACATGGGTAAAAGAAAAGAAAAAAAGAACTAACTGGGAAAGGGGAAAAAAAAAGAAGGTTTCTCCTACCACTTGGTGTGGTTGTAACTTACATGGGATCAATATACAGTCTGCAAGCATCAGCTAGTTGGAAGAAAACCATATCATGCTGGTAGTGACATAATCACGGCCGAAATGAAATTTTGATTTTTATTGCCTCTATTAGAATAAGGACATTGAGAGCAATGATTTCTCACATTCCTCTCATTTTAGTATTGAATCACAGGAACACTGCTGAAA